AATGGGTTTTTCCATCATGTGATTTTTTCATCATGTGATTTCATAAATGGTGAATTGTACTCTAGCATCTAGACCAAGTTAACAAGCAACTTAACAAAGCACAAGCAAAATTCATTAAACAAACTGCTAAAGATCATGAACTCCACTCATATCTTGCAATGATTGGAAATGGACAGTATATGATATAAGAGGTTACTGTGTTGACAAAATTACAACACATCATTGGATTCACAACTAATACTTCACTAACCTCTAATTCAATTTAATTGCATCCTAACAACTAACTTTAATAGAATTTCTAACTTTGTTAACTCTTTAACAAAAATCTACATGGCATGGCATTGGACAATATCAAAGTTGTATCAAAATAGTGGAAACAATATCAAACCTAAACAAAATGTTAATCTTATATCAAAACCGAAACAAACTACTCAACACTCGTATTAGTCAAAACTAAACCACCTTGTCATGCCACCAAGAACAAACAACAACATAATGCAACACTTATATATATTTTACTCATCATTGCTGAAAATTTTAAAAGCAAACTCAGTAAGAAAACAAATCCATTACATATACCATTGCAGCAAAATACAGTATGAAACAAATAACAACATTGCGAGATTGGTTCAAAGCAAACCTGTAGATTTCGTACAGAATGGGTGGAGGACGAAGATGGAAGAATGCCAAAAACAGACAGACGAAATGGAAGAATGCCAAAAACAGACAGACGGAGGCGGAAATGGAAGACGACGACAGACGAAATGGAAGAATGCCAAAAACAGACGGCGACAGAGGCGAAAATGGAAGAGTGTTTCTGTTTCTGAGTTTTTCTGGGTTGTGAGCGTAAGAATGCCAAAAACCATGACTATTTCTGTTTATAAGTTTTACTATTTTTTTTTTAAAATTTATGCCACTTAAACCTACAACAGCGCTTTTGCAAGGCCTTTAGCAACGCTTTATAAAAGCGCTCTCTAAGGTATGATAAGGCAGGACCTATAGTGTAACGCCCATTTTAATTATTTGAGTTTCCAGTGTTATTTCATTTTTCGGCGTGCTTGGTGTGGAATTTATTTGAGAAGCTATGGTCCATAATATTAGAATAATATGATTAATAATAATAATAATATGATAATTAGTAGTGTTGTTGCTATTATTATTATTATTATTGTTATTATTATTATATTTAAAAATATTATTGGAATTATTAATTTTTGAATAAAAGAAATGAGGATTTAATATTAATTTGGAATAATTTGGAATTAAAAGGGGTTTTGGGGTATTGAGGGCATAAGTGGAAAATTGGAAATAGAGAAAAGAAGAACACGAACCCGATGGAGAAAGGAAGCATGGTGGAAGAAGCTAGCAAGAGTGAGAGCACAGTCAAGCAAGAGCAAGCAAGAGGAAGCTAGGCTGTGGATTCTTGAGGTTCCTTCATCGGAGCTGTATTTGAGGTAAGAGGGGGGGGGGGGGGGGGAATAATCAGTTAAATTTCGGTATTGCATGAATATTTGGTAGAAGGGGATTTTCCCTAACCCCATTGATGAACGATGAACTAAATACTATGTTGTGTTGTGATTATGAATGTTGCTAGCATGAATTAATTGTTGCATGTGTTGTTCGGATGAATTTGGGGTTTTGGTAGATTACCGTTTTTAAGTCGAAGTTGGTCCGAACAGTAAGACTAGGTTATTATCAGGTGGAATTCGGTATAGACTTCGTAGTTAAGTCGTATTATGTTGGTGCATCATGTTAGAAGCTGGTTGCAGTGAAATCGGGCAAAATCGGGAAAGGTTGTTGTTTCTGCTGTGTGGAATTTTTCTGAGATCGCAGGTATTCGCTGGGCGAATGAGGAGGCGAGCCTTCGCCAGGCTTCGTCGGGCGAACTGGGCAGCGAATGCTTCCAGTAGCCTCTGTTTGGATTTCGCCAGGCGAATGGTCAACGAGTATTCGCTGCGGGGCTTCGCCAGGCGAACGTGCCAGCGAGCCCGACAGCAGTTTATGTTTTGCTGTTGTTTTGTGTTGTTTCCTTTGTGGTTTTGGACCCTTGTCGATCATGTTTGATGATGAGCTTGTTAGTGAGCTGAGGTGAGCGTATGTGTGGTGGCGGAACGTGAATTCCGTGATATTCGTGTGATATACGATGAAATGGATCAGTAGGATCGTGTGCACCGTGAGTGCTTGTGTTGTTGTGCATGGTGTCTGCATAGCATGTGGACGAGATGGAATCATGGCTCAGATGGGGCGTATGTGATTCACCCGTGCTCTAAGTGGGGAGCGTTGGTATGGATAGATCGTTGCTCAGATGGAGTGTATGCGATTTATCCTGAGATTTGATTATATGGGCTCAGGAGGAGCGTGGTAGGGATAGATCGTTGCTCAGATGGAGTGTATGCGATCTATCCTGAGTTGAGTCGGTACCGCATATCATTGTGTCGAGTTGCATGTGTTGCATTGTGATGTGTGCTGTGTTGGCATGGGACAGTAGGTCCGGAATGGATGTATAGGAAATGATGTTTATATGTTTCTGCCTTTTATTTCATGTACATTATTACCGTTATATTTTGATCGTGATTTCTCACCCCTCGTTGTGGTTGTTGTGGTCTGTGCTTCTTCGGAAGTACAGACAATCCAGGTGCTTAGCTAGCTTGGATTGTGGCGAGTTGTAGGGATGCTATGATACGTAACACCAGAGCTTTTGGGAGTGTTTTGTTTATTTGATGTTTTGTGTGCCCCTGTGGCGTATCTTATTGTGTTGAGATTTGAAGATGATATTTTGTGTACTTTGAGCAGATGGCCGACTTGATGTATATGATGATGACGTGTATATATATATATATATATATATATATATATATATATATATATATATATATATATATATATATATATATATATATATATATATATATATATATATATATATATATATATATATATATATATATATATATATATATATATATATATATATATATATATATATATATATATATATATATATATATATATATATATATATATATATATATATATATATATATATATATATATTTATGACAGATTCATTTTCCGCTGCAATTTTGTTGAAAATCATTTTTTTAAGAAATGTCTTGTGGAATTTTGGTGAAAATGTGACATCCCGTTTTTGGTGTGGAAACTCTGATAATTGTTTATTCGATTGTTTTATTTTATTTTGGGGAACGGGGTGTTACATATAGCAACGCTTTTATAAAAGCGTTGTCTTTTGTACCACCTATAGCAGCGCTTTTATAAAAGCGCTTTCTTAGAATAACCCCTTTAGCAGTGCTTTCTGAAAGCGCTCTCGTAGGTGACCCCTTTAGCAGCGCTTTTCTAAAAGCGCTGTCTAAAGTCTACTATTTTTTTTCTTTATTTTTCCTGACTCTTTAGCAGCGCTTTTTCAAAAAGCGCTGTCTTTTCATGCGCTACCAAAAATCATTCCTGTAGTAGTGTATTGACAGATGTATCTTCTCTGATGGGTATAATGTGAGGCAGGTCCTAAATGCCATTATGAAGGAGGCATAAGAGAAATCGATGTACCGAAGAATATGACAGAGGACAGAAGGTAGTGGAAAACGAGGAGCCCAAAGAACCAGAAGATCCAGAGGAGTTGTAGTCTGACAACGCAATAGTATATAGTAGTTGTACTTTAGATTCATTATGAATTGTATTTTATTTTCACTCCGTTCTACTTTATTGTATATTTTGACTTTATTTTTATATATGTCATTTTGGACCATTTATATATATATATATATATATATATATATATATATATATATATATATATATATATATATATATATATATATATATATATATATATATATATATATATATATATATATATAACATTTTTTGCATATCGATTGCATGATTTAAATCTCAGCACATCACATGGTTCTTAACATTTATAAATCATCACTTTCATTTGCGTAAATCATAAAACAAACATAACCTGCACTATTCTGATAGGGTACAAAGATACATTTATGTAAATCCTAAACAAAGATATATCTCTGTAACAATAAAATTGTGAAATGCCTTTTAGAGTGGGATACATAGTGTATGTTTTTAAATATTATGGAGATGCATCTCTGAATCTGTTAACGTTTTTTTATTTAAAACAAGGTGTATTTGAAAATGTATCTCCGAAATCTAAAAAAATATTTTAAATTTTCTTTTTTTACCACCCCTTAAAATAGAATAAGAAATTTCTTTATAGAAAAAAAAGAATCTTCACCTTTTGTAAAGAAAAGGAATTTTAAGATACACAAGAAATTTTCATGTTGTTTTCAGTTTTGGAACCAAATAGCAGAGCCATATTCTTTACAAACCCAATTAAGAAATTTTCATACAGTAGTTAAAATATTTTGGAGGGATGTGTTTATAACTTGAAATATGTGTGATATTATTAAAAAGTTTAAAAGTAATATGCATATAAAATTATATTGTTTAAAAAAATAAAAAATAAAAAACACATTTTAAGATATAGTCGTAATCTCTTAAAGACTTTCTCTTTAAAACCTTTTAAAAATCAACTCTTGAAGCTCTTTTCACTCAATTCATCAAACTCCTAATACATTTTTCACCAACTAAAAAATAGTTTAGTGAATCACTATTTGTCCGAAAGAATGCCACTAACTTTTCCTTGAAATAAAATTAAATAAAATTGTTTATAACCGAAAGTAAATGGGTGATAGAGATGTAACCTATATGTATATGATATTTCATACAAAGAGCAACAGAGCATTTTTGTTACTTTTATTGTAAAATATAAGAAACAACATTGAAAAACAAAATACCAAAATTTAATAACCCTTTCAACCTTCATATTATGGTTAAAAGGACAAGATCATACATGGTGAGTGTCATTGAAAAGTAAAAAATCACTCACCTTTCATACACTAAGTATGAAATCAATTAGCATTTCCAAATTATAAATATTACATTTCTTAATAAGTAAAGAAATTAAGATCTTAAGGGCATTTTGGTCTTCCTTCCTTTGTCTTCCAACTATTGTAACAAGGACAAACTTGCTTGTTTCCATACACACCCGGTGGAACACAGAGACATGTAGCACAACATTTTTGGCAGAAAAACATGCATGGCTTCTTGTGTGAAGTTGCAGAACAACGATAACTACACCTTGGTTTACAATCTGTTTAAAAAAAAATTAACATTCACATCATCATTAAAATGTAACAATTATTATACTGCGCTCTTTCAACCTGATATACATGCACACAGATATCAACTGAGTTAACTTAACAGAACATCAATAATGTATATATACCTGAAGGTCGAAGCTTTGCGCGTCCATAAGCCTCAGCTACATTAGAGAAAGTAAGCAAAAGGAGCAAAGAGATGACAACCAAGATGGAGGAGCTATAGCAACGAACTGCCATTGTTGTGAAAGTGAATAGAAAAGTTTTAGTTGTGTTGTGTTGTGTTTCACTTAGGTAATGATAGATAGATATTTATAGGATTAAAAGAGAGACAAAATGATTAAGAAAAAAGTAGTTAAAAGAAATAGTTTCCGATTTTTAAGGCGTTAAAAAGGGAACAGTAATAATTGGAAAAACGCAAATGAGGTTGCGTAAGATTGTTTGTAATTAGCGGTAACAGCGGCGCGTTTGATGTTTAATTTGTTTTGGTTACATTTTGTCAACTTAGTAACATGGTGTTAGTAACAACGAACAATCTAGCATGTGAATGTGTTTCATTTTTCTGTTCATTTTGGTTAGTGATGTAAGATTAATGGAAAAAGAAGACGGTGGGAGACAAAAATAATACCACTAGTCTCAACTAGATCTTAGATTAGTAACTATACAATTTATTTATTTATATTCTTAATATTTCTTTACAAAAATCAAATCAAATATATAAAGTTTAACAAAATAACATAATTTTAAATAAAAAAGAATCTATTTTTCTCAAATTTATAAATAATAAGTTTTAAAATGTTTTTTTTAATAAAAAAATCATTTAAAACCGGATTTTTAAAAGTAAAATGGTTATATAACCATAACCAAATTTATAACCGATTTTATAACCAATTTTGGTTGACATGTGATTATGGTTATGAATCCAAACCATTTAAATGATTTTAAAATGAGTAGACATCCACCTGCCCATCTAAAGAATTATGTGTGCAATGCTTCAAACAATCAGTCCATGTCATCATCTTCAGGTTTACACTATCCCATATCCTCTTATCATTCTTTTAAGTTTTTGTCTCCTAGTCACAGATCTTTCAGCTTGTCTGTTACACCTGATCATAAGTCAAAATCTTATGAGGAAGCATGCACAGATCAGAATTGGATTCAAGCTATGAATTTTGAGATGGAGGCCTTAACCATCAATGGAACTTGGAAGTTGATTGATCTTACACCCAATGTCAAACCTATTGGGAGCAGGTGGGTATACAAGATCAAACACAAGGTTGATGGCACTATTGAAAGGTATAAGTCCATGCTGGTTGCAAAAGGATACAGTCAAGTAGAAGGTCTAGATTTTTTTTGATACTTTTTCACCTGTAGAAAAATTATCTACTGCCAGAGTCCTTCTTGCTGTTGGAGCCATCAAGAATTGGCTTTTACATCAACTTGATGTCAATAACGCATTCTTACATGGTGACTTAGAGGAGGATGGTTACATGACTGTTCCTCAAGGAATCACATGTAACAAGTCCAATCAGGTTTGAAAACTTGTCAAAAGTCTCTATGGACTAAAACAAGCTAGTATAAAATGGTATGAGAAGCTCACATCATTATTTCTCTATGGTGGTTTAGTTTCTAAAAATAACCACCATGCACATACCTAGTTAGTATATCGAATTTAACTTAGTAGTCTATAAATAGACTAGTTCTCTTAGGTTGTTGAGAGATATTAATTGTTGATATTTACTTGTAATATTTGAACCTTTATTGAGATAGTGAATAGAAAAAGAGATTGAACCAATTCTCTATTCTTCTTCCTTCTTCTCTCCCTTTTTCATTCAACATTAATCAAGGGTTTCCTCTAATCAAAAATCAAATACAAGATTGCATCATTTCAAGCTCAACAAGGCTCAAGTCCTCAAATACACCCAAATTAGGGTTTTGACCTGATTTAGTCTCTGGTTGACTTTTGGAGCAAGGCATGATCCGACATCTCAAAATATGTTTCAAGGACTTTAAATTCACCTCCATTCATATGATTGGTTTGATCCAAAGAACTTGATTCATGAGCAATGCAAGAATTCAAATTCATCTGGTCCACAAACTATGTTTTTGATGAAAAGTTAACTGCACCTTTGACTTTTGACCAGGACATGATCTCAAGCCTTAGGACATGATTCAAGACATACAAAGACACCTTTGGAGTCCATCCATAGTGTTCAAAATAGCTCAAGGATTTGATTTCATTAAAGAGTGCACTTTGGATTTCATCTGATACAAAAGTCAACCACTGATCAAAGTCAAATTTGAATTATGACTTTTTTGGTCAAACATGGTTTCCTCAAGTCAAGGATCATGATAATATGTGAACTGGATCATGATCAATCAAGAAAATCAACAAAAATATCAAAGAATCAAGATTTGTGAAAATTAGGGTTTCATAATTTTTTTAAGTTATAAAATTCAATGGTTTTTACTCATCTTGCCAAGGTCATAACTTACAATCCAAGTAACTATTTTCTTTGCTCCAAAGACTAAATTGAAGAGTTTTTTACATGCTGCAACTTTGTCGTTAAGGATGAATTCCCAAAAAATGCATAGACTGAGAGATATGAAGCCATGAAGTTGGAGGTTCAATACTTTTTGAACTTAAACACTTAGAAAATTTTCAAGCAAAATCTGCCTTGTGTTGGAGCCAACTTTGGGGGCATTTTTCACTATGATCCACATTGATTCAAGACAAACTTCCAACATCAAAATTGAAGTATGTCATCTCAGCTTTCCAAAATATCCAAGAACATCCATTTATCTTACTTGAGCAAGAATATATGATTTTTACAATAGGCCTTGTTGCAACTGAATGCTCAAGACAAATTTGCTACACATACTTGTGCCACACGGTTTTTGGAGTGAGTTTTGATCACTTTCAATCCTTATTTCTTCACAAGATTAACATCAAAATCATAATACACCATTTGCTCTGCATGAATTTCTAAAATTCTATCCCTTTGCATATGAAGAATCATTCCAAAAAGCTAGGAACTTAAGTTTTGTCCTCTAGCGTTAAAGTGCAATGGTGAATTGATCAAAAACCACCACAATCTATCAAATAATGATCAAAACACCAAGGATCAAGATGCAATATTATGAATTCAATCTCTAAAAGATCATATTATAGCCATGTGAGAAATAGGCTATGTGTACCTTAGCACTCAAGTAATAGGTGCATATCATTACTCTTTGGGTAATGGCATGTATCCTAATCCAAAGATTTTCAAAAATATATGAAACATTTTCCTATAAATAGAGGTCATCCTTGATCATTCAAATCACACCAAAACATAGCAAAAACTTATTTTTTTTAAGAAATCCTCCTCCTTCCAAAATTCAAAGTCTCAAGAAAGTGAAAACTTGGAACTTCAACTCCAAGCAATCTCCAACCAAACCAGGCATCCAAACACTTTATATACATCATATAGAAGTGATCCATATCATCACCTTGCTTTTGTAACACCAGAAACACATCCTCTATATCTCACTTACTTCAAATTGCATATTGAGTTGACCAGGGAGTTTCATAAGGTTTCAGATCAATTTGAACACATCGACACACTCCTTGGAGTGTCAAGGAAGTTGTTAGCATCAAGAAACTGCATCTGGAACACCTCTATCAAGGAATTCAATTATCACTTGTAAGGTAAGTTTTCCAAAATTCGAACTCTATGATTCATGCATCATTTTGTACCATTTGAGTTTCTAATCTGTTTATCATGATGCAGTGAATGATTTCCCCGCGCTAATTGTATATAAATTGTAGCATATAAGATTTCATTTTGATATTTCCAGTTTTAGGGTTTATGTGTTCATGCGTGTTAATTTAAATTACACTGAATATAAATGAAATTGGTTGATACCATTCAATTCCTGGTGAAATTTCCAACAAATTTAGTCTTTACATCTTTCAATTTGGTTGAGAATAAAGATTTTGGAAATTCAAATTGGATGAAGAAGATGAAGCTCGTGGAAGAAGATGAGCATATTTGTGGCGCCATTTTCCAATATTAAATTAATGTTTAATATATTATTATTTCGTTGCAAGTTAATTAACAAATTGGCATTGTGCCGTGGTGGTCAAGTGTTTGGTTTGTGTGTGTGAACGAAGCCAAGGTCTGGGGTTCGAATCCCCTTCACCCTAAAGCTTTTGATGTTTTTTTAATACATTTTCACTCTAAAGGCTTAATATATTATTCAACACTCATTTTATTTTTCAAACCAGAGGCACATGGCCCAGTGGTAGAATTTTAAGCCCATCACCCCAAGGGCGTAGGTTCAAGTTTTGGTGGGAGCATTCCCTATTTTTGTTATCACTATTTTTCATGCTTTTCTTCACAACTTTATTCAATTATTTCAATAAGCAAAATTAATCTTTTTGAGCCAATTTTTGCACACTTCTCATTTATCTTGCATACTTTGAGAATCCAACAAAAAATCCCAAAAATAATATTTATTTTTGTCACTTTTATTAGGTTGAAAACTAGTACTTTTTAAGTATTTTTCATATCTTTTCATGATTCCTTTTGATTATTCTCTTGACCTAATTGTACATGTGTGTTTGTACGATCATAATATCATTTGTCTAAGTCTTGTTTAATGTACATAACATGTTGTCTTGACTTATACATACCATGATTAAGTGTTATTTCTTTTGAAAAATACTTTGATTATTAGTTGAAACCTTAGGGTTTTGTTCAAATAATCTTTTGAAAAAATCTTGATGTATGACTAGGGCTTCTTCTTGAGTTTGGATTCCCCAAAGTCATTGATTCAACCATGATTGAATGTCTTGTTCATATGCTCATCTTCATAAAACTTTGGGTTTTGCTTATCCTTTGTTATGTTCATCTGATCCATGATCATCTTGAATATATGCTTGCTTGAACTTCTATGTAATTGCTTCAATTAATTAAATCTTTGCTCACATGTTCAAGTATTTCCTTCATAAACTCTCACCATGATGAACATATCTACTTGTCTGATACTCATTCACATGTTGATATACCATGCTTGATCACAATCATGTTCATTTCATCCTTGATGACTATATTTGTTTAAAAGCTTAATCAATTTTTTCTTGTTAAGTTTCTATTGAAATTTATGTTTATGACACTTGCATTCATACAACTGTTGCATTTTAATACTCATCCTTAAGTTTAGACCCAGTTCAAATTTTAGGGTCCCCTTCAAAC